CGTGTGAGCCAGGCCACGTGCAAGCCCCAGCACGACCACAGCGCTATCTGCGCCGGCGTGGGGAGAGGAACAACACGGGAGCTCCGTGCAAGGAGATTCCCATCTAAACGCAGCTCCGCTTACGCTCCAGCAGCACAGGAGAGAGGAAAAGGGACAGGGAAAGGCGGCGGAGGGACACGCAGGAGCGCGTTACAGCACGGGAACGCCAAACTGGAGCGCGGCTCTGCCGGGACGAGGCAGCAGGACGGGGAAGTCATTTTCTCAGCGCATTTCTAATTATTCATCGCTTCTATTTCTGGGAGCTGGTACAAGAGCCAGAGGTCAGGTCGCTGCGACAAACCAGGGCTAGAAAGCACAACAGGAGATTCCCAAATCAATTTAGGGAACTGTTACACAGGGGCTGGAACACGAGCAAAGCAAGGCAGATCTGGGGTGAGCGAGAGCAGGCAGACGATAGTCTGAGCTCCACTGAGGCTTCTGGTCCTAAATATGTATTAGCAGCAACATCTTGTCCCAGGGCCCTGACACCAGCAGCGTCTTTGTCCAATAAGATCTGCTTAAAGCACTCGGTGTTAAGAAAAAATAAATAAAAAACAGTAGGGGAGGTGGGTTTGTTTGCGTTGCTCGGTATGATGCGATTTGGGTTCCCGACACTTGGGTCACATTAAAGCAGGGGTCAGTCCCCACAGCCACCAAAGGGGGAAGGCAGCCCTGCCATAGGGCATCTCGACATCTCGCTGCCTCATCCAGGGACCGATTTCCCAGCTCCCGACCGCAAGAGCTGCCTGCAGGAAGCGAGACCCCGTGCTGGAAACGGGGCCACCAAAACTCATGGAAACCTCCGAGCAGACACGCTGGAGCCGAGCCCAGGCCTGAGACGGGCTGCATTAAAATAATACATCCCAGCCTCGGATGCCAACTCGAAGAGTAATGCAAACAGACCTAAAAATACATCCCATCCTGCTGCCTGGGCAGCAAACGGCGCAGCCCATCCCGGCGCGGGGAGCAGCCCTGCACGGAGCCGGCCCGGAGCGCGTGTGCATCCCGCATGGACACACGAGGCTCTCGCTCTCACACGTGTGTACATATACACACGCACTGCACATATATATATACACACACTTGCATATGCATGTGTGTAATATATGCACATATCTTATACCATATGTATATATAAATCATGAAACCTGCTGTCAGAAGCAAAGCTGACGAAGCAAGTGCACAACCGCCAAACCCACCCCGGTGCCTTTCATCCCATGCTGAAAGGCAGTTCGAGTCCCCTTCCACCTCCAGAGCGGCCGGGAGGCCCCTGCTCCTTCACACGCCGGTCGCAGCTTCGCCGTGAACTGGATGGGGCTGGAATTCGTGGCCAACGCTCACGCACAGCGACTTCAAAAGAGCCTTTCATCCCAGAGGCACGGCCTTGCCCTGCAAACGCCTGCATCCCACTTGCTCCCTAATGAAGGGATGGAAATGGGTTGCGCCACTCTTCCCCCGAGGCCTTGGGCTTCCCGGTCCTGCTGCGCGGCCAGAAACCCCGGCTTGGGATGGGAGATGGAGCTTCAGGGAAATAGTCATGGCTTTTGGTAGCACAAAGCGGGGGAACTGGGATGGAAAAAACTAACCTTAAAAGGCAAGGACCGGACGGAGCAGTAGGGACCAGCTCTCCACTTGTTCAGGGAGGGAGTCCAGAGCCAGCAGCGATGCTGCAAAGCAGGAGGCTCCACCGAAACAACCCAAGTCAGGGATTGAAGGGGGCTGGTGATGGCACCGGCACCAACGTACACCTGGCACCCAACGCACCCATGTCCTGCGTGTGCTCAGCGCCCTCCACGCTCACCCTCCTGGTCCCCACGGAGACCCCATGGGACATGGGCTCCCATCGCAGCATCGGCAGCGCCGCGCACCTCGGCAAGCCCCAACAGTGCTGGGAAATGCAGCCTTCAATCCAGGGAAAAGCCGCTCTCGAGGAGCCGGGATCTGCCCATCAACTGCCCCAACGGTTTTACGGTCTCGCTGAACGGGAGCGCTTTGAAAGAGAGCCTGGAAGACAGAACCGATAGGAATGAAAACCTGCATAAGTGACCCCCTGAAGGACAGGAGAAATGGGATCTAATGGGTCTTTATCTATAATCGCTCTGAGTCACTTGCTGCTTTCAGCGATAGGAAACGGACTGAGAAGGAACCAGCTCCATCTTCAAACACACCCGAGCTGCTGAGCTGCCAATAATTAGCAAAGGCAAAGAGAGGGGGGTGATTATGTGGAGAAAAGCCCACAGGCCACAGGAGAGTCGGTCTCACAATACATTTGCTATATTTTTAGGTTTGCCTGCCTGGGAAAAGCCTTGCAACAATAAAAGGCTGGTGGTGCTACGGAGCTAGGAGCTGTACTACATATGCAGTCATCTGCAACAGGGCTAAATTTAACTCCTTCCTTCACCACACACATTAATTTAAAACAATTTCTCAGGGATCACTCCCCAGCTAGCAAGCGAGTGAAATCATTACAAATCTCATCCCTGGCTCGAACCAAGCCTTGATGAAATCAATGGCAAGCTCTGAGGCAGCCCCACTCCAATCTCGGTTCCAATCACA